AGCGGGGATTATTTAAATCCCTGCTTCATTGACTATGTCGAGTAAACTACTTTATATGGCTCCGTCGACAGGGCCATGTAGTCTAGACACACCCTAAGTTCTTAATATGAAAATAATAATAAATTCAGGGGATTGGAATATTAGTCTTGTAAACTGATGTTGTGAATTCAAAACTCACTAGTTTTGATTTAACTACTACAAAAAGCTACCAATGGAAGTAGTTAATCTCCATCTGTTAAAGTCTTCAAATAAAGACTGGTGCCTTTCTGGAAGATATCCTTAGTCAGAAACAAATTACTGGGCGCAGTACACAAATATCTGGATACAATTCTAAGTCCTGTGGTATACAGGAGATCAAACTAGATGATCATAGAACCATAGAATCATAGGACTGGAAGGGACCTCGAGAGGTCACCGAGTCCAGCCCCCCGCCCTCAAAGCAGGACCAAGCTCCACCTACACCATCCCTGACAGATGTCTATCTAACCTGTTCTTAAATATCTCCAGAGAGGGAGATTCCACCACCTCCCTTGGCAATTTATTCCAATATTTGACCACCCTGACAGTTAGGAATTTTTTCCTAATGTCCAATCTAAACCTCCCCTGCTGCACTTTAAGCCCATTACTCCTTGTCCTGTCCTCAGAAACCAAGAGAAACAAATTTTCTCCTTCCTCCTTGTGACACCCTTTTAGATATTTGAAAACCACTATCATGTCCCCCCTTAATCTTCGTTTTTCCAAACTAAACAAGCCCAGTTCACGAAGCCTGGCTTCATAGGTCATGTTCTCTAAACCTTTAATCATTCTTGTCGCTCTTCTCTGTACCCTTTCCAATTTCTCCACATCTTTCTTGAAATGTGGCGCCCAGAACTGGACACAGTACTCCAGCTGAGGCCTAACTAGTGCAGAATAGAGCGGCAGAATGACTTCACGAGTTTTGCTTACAACACACCTGTTAATACAACCTAGAATCATATTTGCTTTTTTGGCAACAGCATCACACTGTTGACTCATATTCAACTTGTGGTCCACTATGACCCCTAGATCCCTTTCCGCCATGCTCCTTCCTAGACAGTCGCTTCCCATCTTGTATGTATGGAACTGATTGTTCCTTCCTAAGTGGAGCACTCTGCATTTCTCCTTATTAAACCTCATCCTGTTTACCTCTGACCATTTCTCTAACTTGCTAAGGTCATTTTGAATTATGTCCCTATCCTCCAAAGAAGTTGCAACCCCACCCAGTTTGGTATCATCTGCAAACTTAATAAGCGTACTCTCTATCCCAATATCTACATCATTGATGAAGATATTGAACAGTACGGGTCCCAAAACAGACCCTTGCGGAATTCCACTTGTTATCCCTTTCCAGCAGGATTTAGCACCGTTAACAACAACTCTCTGACTACGGTTGTCCAGCCAACTATGCACCCACGTTATCGTGGCCCTATCTAATGATCTAATGGTGTCTTTGGATTTTAAATCTAGGAATAATAATAATGATCCCCGCCTTATGATTTTTGCTTCCTAGGAGCATGCAGACTGTATCCTGCATCCAAGATGTTTAATCTCAGAAATCATATAATTTTATTAAATGTTATTTGGTCTTAACAGAGATATTGAGGAAAATATGCATTTTATAAATTATTATTACTAATATTACATTAACACCCACAGGATGTTAGGCACAGAACAGCCGTATTGCAAGAAACAGTCTCTGCCCCAAAGAGCTTACAATAGAAAAAGACAGACAACATGATTGTGTCAGAAAAAGGGTGCAATATACAAGCAAAGTGGTGGCAGTGATAACTGGCATATGTCTTGATAGTTTCATGTATTTTAATACAGAGGATGGATCACTTGATGAGTCTTGTTCCATTCATTTTCTCTGAAGTACCTGCCATTGGCCAGTGTCAGAAGACAGGATACTGGGCTAGGTGGACCTTTGGTCTCGCCCAGGATGGCTGGTTTTATGTTCTTATGCAATAATACTTGTCATTTCTGCAAACTCTCCTAACCACCTCTTTTATGTGAATTTTATGTTTGGGTTCAGACAAGAACAGGTTGAATAATTATCTCTATCTTAGAAGTCTCAGAGGGGCAGCTGTGTGAGTTTGTAACCTTAAAAAAAATGTGTAGTCCTGTAGTATATTAGAGGCTAAAAAAATGTATATATAATATCATGAGTTTTTGTGGAGCTTCTTCAGATGAGTGGAGCAGTGGAGCAGTGGAGCAGTGTCATATTGTATATGTATATGATATGTATATGATTGCAAAATATATCATTATACATCTTATTATGTGAATTGAATGTCTTGGAATATGATCCCTGAGTCCGATACATTGCTTTCTTCCTTTGCTATAAGGATAACAGATTGACATGTCACTAGTGATTGTAGTATTGAGACAAAGTGGTTTGCCATTTGCCAGGTAGATTACATTATCAAGATTATTTAGTCTTCTTTACATTTTATGAGAGTAAAACATACGTTATAAGAGTAAGTGTCATTTTTGGTTGTCATCATTAGTTCCTTTGGTTTTCATATGTAGTCCCATTTAGTATTTCCCATCTGTTTTATGTTTGCTTGGTTTTGTTTTTTTGGAAGAATTCACTCGAAGGAACTTCTTAGCATATGTTCAATGTGCCATGGGGGAGGGGGCACATGATCAGGATTCATCACTGAATCTGGTTCACTGATTGTATCATTAGGTTCCCTGGGTAGGGCCGGGTACAGACTGGGAGTTCAATGTCAATGCTGATCCATGTCCCCTTCCATAGGAAATACAGGATGGTGCAATTTATGTTGGAGCTGGGCCTGAAGTGAACAGTGACTTGATTTTCTCCACCTGCTTATCGCCACATATATTATAGGTATGTCTACATTGCACGGGTATTTTGAAATAAACTATTCCAGAATATTTATTCCGACATAGCTTATTTTGAAATAGCATGTGTACACTGCAGGGGACCCTTAAAATTGGTCCAAAGCAGGCTTCCCTAATGTAGATGTGTTATCTTCATTTAGAGTCCCAGAAGGCAATGGGGAGGAATAACTCAGACTGGCCCTAGTGAGGGGCTATTTCAAAACAGCAGCAGTTGAGTGTCTCCACGTGCCTTATTTCAAAATAGCTATTTTGGAAAAGGCGCTATTTCTTGTAGAACGAGGTTTACAGATTTCAGAATAAGCCATCTGTTATTTCGAAATAACGGACTGGCTGAGTAGACACTCACATTGTTATTTCAAAATAACGCTAGTTATCTCAAAATAACGGTAAAGTGTAGATGCAACCATAGACACACACAGGTGCCCAGCCTGTAACTGGATCCAGCTGACTGGACCTTTGCACTTATGCAGAACATCTATGATTTCCATAGAACTCTATATTGATATAAAATTTTACTTACGGGAAGCCAGTTGCAGGATCAGAGCCAAACCTTAGGAAAATTTGGATCTGGATATAGAGCCAAACTTTATAGCTTGGACATATCGCTACCATGAGCCAGAAACTAAAGTCCAAATGCACCTACAAAGGGTTCAGAAAAGGGCAACTAAAATGATTAGGGGTTTGGAACGGGTCCCATATGAGGAAAGGTTAAAGCATCTGGGACTTTTCATTTTAGAAAAGAGGAGACTGAGGGGGGATATGATAGAGGTTTATAAAATCATGAGTGGTGTGGAGAGGGCCGATAAAGAAAAGTTATTTATTAGTTCCCTAAATAGAAGAACTAGAGGACACCAAATGAAGTTAATGGGGAGCAGGTTTAAAACTAATAAAAGAAAGTTCTTCTTCACACAGCGTGTAGTCAATCTGTGGAACTCCTTGCCAGAGGAGGCTGTGAAGGCTAGGACTATAATAGAGTTTAAAGAGAAGCTAGATAATTTCATGGAGGTTAGGTCCATAAAAGGCTATTAACCAGGGGATAAAATTGTGTCCTTGGCCTCTGTCTGTCAGAGGCTGGAGAGGAATGGCAGGAGACAAATTGCTTGATCATTGTCTTCGGTCCACCCTCTCTGGGGCACCTGGTGCTGGCCACTGTCGGTAGGCAGGATACTGGGCTAGATGGACCTTTGGTCTGACCCAGTACGGCTGTTCTTATGTTCTTATGTTCTCATGTTCACATTTTGGGAAAATTTAAACTGTGATCCAAATCCAGGTCCAAACTCCATGGCTCTGATTTGTATGGAGTTTTGAAGAAAGTAGTCATGTTTATTTCACGAAAATGTAAACAGAGGATGATCAAAACAAGTTTTAATGGTGTGCATTGGAGTTCTTTACTGGATTTGTTTTTATTTCTGAAATATACATCCATCACAATCCTTGTGTGCATTTATAAAATACAGTAAACACCACAAAGCTGTTTTACTATCACAAAGATAACCCCTTCCCAAAAGGATAGGTAGGCAATCCAGTGAATATGATGGCCTTTGCCATGTCATTTTTTCTGTTAAACAAACAAGTGTATTTTGGGAGAACTGAACAGGGCTACGTTAAAATGACATTTGCCTGCTCAAAAAATAAAAAAAAAGGAAGATAGAAATGAAGTTCAGTATGTCCAAGCTGAAAGCTATCAGTGCTTTCTTTTTCTCAGAAGATGTATACTTCATGGCTGTGTCTACATTAGCATCCCTTTCCGGTAAAGGGATGCTAATGAGACACTTTGGAATAGCAAAATCCGCGGGGGATTTAAATATCCCCCGCGGCATTTGCATTTACATGGCCGACGCTTTTTTCCGGCTTGGGAATAAGCCGGAGAAAAGTGCCAGTCTAGACGTAATTCTCCGGAAAATAAGCCTTTTTCCGGAGTTTCAACGTGTACTTAGCACTTTTACAGCACTTCTTTGTAAAAATTAATAGATTTTACTATAGTTAAATAAAATCTTTGATTAGTTAGCAATGTCTGAATACTGACTTATTTTATTATTTTATTCCAAGCATTATTTTGCTATTCATCACCATAATATCTAGGCTATTTAAAACAAGTATTAAAAATATGAAGATTATTCCAAAATATTTTAAAATACTCAAGGTAAAAACCACACATTAAAATGTATTTGCTTCACAATGTATAAGACACAAATTTATTCCAGCAAATACATTACAGTCAATGGCAACACATATGAACATTCTATCTTAAACAGAGATTCATTTTTTAAAATCATTTTTGTGAATTGTTACATGGCCTTCTGTTTAGATATATTGGTTTTAATAAAATATCTTCACTTCTGCGTAATTCTTAATTGCCTGGAATTAGGTTCTCACTTGTCTGCCCTTCAGTGGCTGGGGAAGTCGGTGATTGGTCACTGTGAGGCTACGGAATTGGGCCAACTAAATGAGGAGAAAAGAGACACAGTTAGCTTCCAACTTAAATGCCATGTATTAAAAAGAAGTAATATTTCTTAGGCTGGCTCTATAGTTAGTATTTTCTGTTCATGCACTTAATCCAAAATCTTATAATTAAAGCAATCATCAACAAATGGAAATAAGAAGTCCACTGCTATCAGCGGAATTCTGACAGCATTATATTGGAGTGACACAGTTATGAATTAGGATCTATACTTTTAGATACCCATTCAAATTGTTTGATCACTTAGTGCATTTTATCACCTTTGTCACTGGAAAGTATACACATCTATCAGATATTCAGTGATGGTGCTGGTGCATCTGTGTAATAAATCAGTTCTATAAAGAAAACAACTTTTTGTGAGTTTCCTTACTACTTTGCCCCAATATTGGTTTACAAAACTGCTTTTTTAGCCAAAACTCCTTGTACAGGTTGAACTTTTCTACTCTGGCACTCTATCTCACTGGCTACCTTTCTGTTTCAGTGATGGTCTAATAAGACAAGTGAAAATAAATGAAATAAGCAAATAGTATATTTTCCCTTAAAATAGCAACACAGGCTGAACCTCTCTAGTCCGGTACCCTCAAGACCTGACTGGTGCTAAACCAGAGAATTTGCCAGGCTATGGGAGGTCAATATTGTCTAGCAGCATTACCAACACTTACACTGCTTGCTGGGCTCTTAGGAGACATTTAGGAGTAAATAAGACAAATGTTTACTGAGCTCAATAACGGCACAGAACACTGAGAGCCAGAACTGGTGGCTGTAAAAATGTATGGGACTGTGGGAAACTTGGCCACACCCATGATAAGCGGACATCCAGCTAGCTAAAATCATGCTAGACCATGGATATTGCCAGACCAGAGAATTCTGGACTAGAGGGGTTCAAACTGTGTCAGGTTTCTATCAAGCATACACGTTAATGGCCTCAGTGTCAAGATCTCTTACTATGTATTAATGAGTTGTTAATAAATGAGCTCTCAGTACTTTTTATCCCAAAAGATCCAAAAGCTCTTTATAAAATTGTATACAAAACTTACACAGAAAGGACTTTGTTCATGGTGACATGCACCCACCTCTAGAATAATAAGTGGCAACACTTTCATGGCATAAAGTTACACAGACATATAGGAAATAAAGTGAAAAATAACATAAGGTTTTTCATGTCTTAGATGTTGAAAATGAGAAAAATAAAAATAAACAAATCATGGTGCACAATTAGATTATACTATCCTCTGTGTTCTCTATGAAGAAAAATCTTGTTTTCTTTGTAGTACTATACCTGCTCTGAACTGACAGTAATAGGTTCCTTATAGATAATCCAGGTGACACTCTCAAGAAGAGGAGGATGAGTCAGAGAGCCAGGATAGGTCCAGTAATCCAAGGATCCAGGAAGTAAAGTTGATGGGTCAAAATTAGTAAATGGAGCTTTTTTACCCTGTGGAAAATGTATTTCATTTAATGAGAATGGTAGTAAGAGTATATGTCAATCAGTTATCATATATATAGCAGCCCAGTGTCTGTGACTCTGTAACTCCATGGTATGCCCACATCTTGAATACTGCGGGCTGATCTGGTCGCTGCATCTCAAAAATATATATATTGAATTGTGACTAGTGAGAGGAAAATAAATAAGGAACTGTTATTTACTCAATCCCATCATATATATAGCAGCCCAGCATCTGAGAGTCTGTAACGCCAAAATGCTGGCTGTTTCCTCTGGGGGGCGCTGTTGCCTGAAATGCTGACTGTTCCCTCTGGGCAGCCCGTGCTGCATGGGGAGCGCAGGGCCTAAATGGCCACTTGCGCCGCTTGCTCCCGCGCGGTGTGAAGTGACGTGCGGCATGACAGCAGCTCCAGGCCCCGCCTCCTGGCCATGAACGTCACTGTCCCACCCCCCCTTTGCCTTCCACTGTGGCACTCAGCTGACTTCTGAGCCACTCAGCCAGGCCGCCGCGTGGGAGCAAATGGTGCAAGCAACCGTGGGAGGGGAGAGAGAGAGACCGACTGACCGACCCCGGAGAGAAGACCAACATGAAGGAGAGACCTGAAAATCCCATAGAGGGGGGAGGGGGAGAAGAGGGAGAGAGAGGCAGGAGGCGGATGAGAGCTGAGAGAGAGAGAGGGTGAGGCAGTAGGAAGAGAAGAGAGAAAGAGGCCGTTTGTGCTGCTTGCTCCTGTGCGGCGGCCCAGCTGAGTGGTGCAGAAGTCAGCTGAGCGCCATGGTGGGAGGAGAAGTGGGGCAGGCAGTGACGTACACGCCCAGGGGGCGGGGCCTGGACGAGCGTGTATCCCTGATGGAGACAGAAGAGAGCGGAGAGAGAGTGAGAGGCAGGAGGGGGAGAAGAGAAAGAGAGTGATGGAGAGAGAGGCAGAAGACAGAGAAGAGCTTAGAGAGAGGGGGAGGCAGTAGGAGGAGGAGGAGAGAGAGAGAGAGATGGAGTGAAAGACCGGAGGCTCAGGAGAGAAGACCGACGTGGAGAAGAGACCTGAAAATCCTGTCTTATGATGGGCTAATTGGCTAGTTGTTTATATAATAGTTGAGAGTAAGAGTGGAGATTTTTTGCATTATAAGAAAGAGGGGGGTTCATTTTAAAATACAGGTGTTCTATGGGACCAAACCTGCAAGGTGATGAACACCGTGGTCCTGAATTTAACAGGACTACTTATATACATAAGTGCTTTGCTTGGGATCTGATTGCTGACTTCCTCCCAAGATCAAAGCCATAGCCTTCCACAAATACTGTATGGGACATACATGCTATATCTTAACTGTGTTGACATTCATAGTCTGTTTTACTTGAACATTTGAACAGCATGTATTTATGTGATAAACTGTAGAGATGAGGTAAAACTAAATCCAGTCAGTAGATGGATATATGGTGCTAAATGCTAAAGATGAACTTTAAGTGGATGGATACACTTAAAATAAGTTAATGGGAACTGACAACTCTTATTTTACAGGAGGCCTTTGGCAGCTTATATGCTGAGCACTAAGACTATAAATTATTCTTTTGCAATTTTATAAAGGTCATAATGTGTGTGTCTACTCCTAGACTCAGAAAGGCAATTTAAGCTGGACATTCAATATTGCCCCTAGATGATCAGTTGATCTCTGAATTTATATGGCAAGTATACAGATGGAACTGCTATGCAAAGCAATCTCATCACATTTCAGACTGGCATAAGGTAAGGAACACAACTAACATTTTCCAGAGTTCTAAATCAGTATCCTACTCTAAAGTATTGTGACCATGCAGTGATGTTTACCTTAGTCTTTATCGAACCTAATGCCGTCACAATTTTCTGTACACATTCATGAGGAGGACCAACCTTCAAATATAAACATAGTGAGAAAATTGTTGAATCGTAAACATATAATTATTTTATATTAACATTCCGCCTTCTACTCAAAGATCTCAATATGATTTACAAATATAAATTAGTTTAGCCTCACAAACCCACTATAAATTAGCAAGCCTCTTCTGAAAGCAAAAATTTAGAGCTGGGGTTGGGGGAACCTAAGACCCTAGGGCCAAATGCAGCCCCCGACTTGCCAGGATCCTGTCTCTGAGGCTCTGGTATGTGAAAGGAATGTGGGGTGTGTATTTCCCCTCAGTCGGGAATCAGGTCAGTGAGGTTGGTTTTTTTTTTTTTTTTAGCTTCTCACTTGTGTGCTGATTTTTCTGTGGGTCAATGGCCCCCAATCCAAAAAAGGCTCCCCACCCCTGATTTAAAGCTAAGCAAATCATTCATAAAATCAGGATGACACCATTATTTGTGTGGAGTAATGTGTTAATTCCCAAGTAGTCCCACTGAAATAAGTGGAACCATAAGTTGAACCTCTCTAATCTGGGACTTTCTGGGTCTGGTAACAACAGTGGTCCAGCAGGACCATGGATGTTGCTTGACCAGAGAGCCCCTGGACCAGAGAGGACCAGAAGGCTTACAGCTGGGAGTGGAGCCAGGAGCTTGGTGGCTGGGAGCAGGGAGCCCAATGGCCATGGGTTGGCTGCAGAGTCTGGAGGCCCTGGGGCAGCGGAGCCCAGCAATGAAGGGGCCTGGTAGTGCAGGGCTGGCTGCGGAACCCTGCGGCTGGGGGGCAGTGGAGTCTGACAGCCAGGACTAGGGCCCCATGGCAGGAATGTGGAGCTGGAAGCCTGCTAGCTTCGGGGCAGCAGAGCCTGGCGGCCCAAGAGCAGGGATCCCAGAGGCGGGGCTGGCAGCAGAGCCCACCGGTTAGGAGGGGAGCACAGCCCAGTCTGCTGATGGACCCAAGCAGAGCCCAGAGTCTGAGTAATGGCAACAGAATCTAGTCAGTAATTATTAATGTATCTATCAAGCATACCCTCTTGTTATTGTGATTTCAATTTCCTTCTTTCTTTGAAAGTATTCAATACTTTTTTTTGCTAATTTAATTTTAACTTTTTTGGATTTATTGTGAACTGTTCTTTTCATGTCAGGCCTGGATATCTATGCATCTGAGTTTAATGTTTGTTTTCCAGTAATACCTGCACATGTGATTGACTTGAAAGTTACTTTCCATGAAGGTTTATGTCAATAAAAGCTGATCTCACAAATTTGTATGGAAAGGAAAAACAAAAGGGTGAGTAAGGGCAATTTACTTAAGTAAATCCTGTTAGCTCAGCTCTACTAAGTATAATTACATCCCTTTTCACAGATAAGGAAATTGAGGCAGGGCATACTTAAGAATTTTTTTTCAAGGCAACAGTGGTAAAACTGGGAACAGAACCTTGGTCTTCTGATGCCTCATTCAATGCCTTAACCATAAGATCATGCTTCCTCTCATAAAAGCTGAATATAATTTTGGCTCAGTTATTTTTTTAGATTTATTGTGAATTACTTGAGTTCAGTTTGAGTTACACATAGCAATACAATGTCTTCCCATGCTCTGGAAGAGAAAATTTTGGAAAACAGCAATAAATGGGATGTGTCTTGTGTAACTTTTTAGGCTAAAGCTATAGTTAGTTACTTATAACTAAAGTAAAACAAAGAGTAGGCCAAATACAGGCAGTCCCCGAGTTACACAGATCTGACTTAAGTCAGATCCGCAGTTATGAACGGGGCCGTCTCCCTGGTCTCCAGCAGATCAGGGAGAGGAAGCAAAGCGGCAGAGCACGCGGGCAGCGGACAGCCCAGACGCTGCTCAGCAGCGACTGAATCTGGACGCCAGTTCCGACTTACATACAGATTCAACTTAAGAACAAACCTATAGTCCCTATCTTGTACGTAACCCGGGGACTGCCTGTATTCAGAAATATAAACTCAGAGGTTCCGCAGTGCAAAATTGTTTTTTATCCTTCAGAGGAAGCATGATAAAATGAGTTTAATAATGAGTTGCCCATTTCACTATTTGGGGTTGAAAAAAAATAACCAGACTACTGAAATCAAAGGAAAGTCAACATGGCTGTGGGTCTCTAAATAGAGATAATATTGCTTTGTCTTGTCCCCTTTCTGAATGGACTGTGGTTTGTGGATCAGATAATATATAAAGCATTGATAAAAGGGGAAACAAAAGAGATAAAAGGGGGTTTCAATATATCGTGTAACTGACCTGCAGAAAAACAGCAATGATTGCCAAGCCATCAGGCTTATCAGAAGCCTCAGCAAAACTTGAATATTTGTCTGAATTCCAGTGAACCAAGTGAAGCTAAAAAGCAAATGAAGGAGAAATAGTGACCAAAGCCAACAACATTAGAGGCAAACCAAAACTACATTCTTAGGGCTTGAATCTGCAATTGGCAGTGTGCGTATGAACTACTGGTCCATCATGGAGAGCAGTGGAGCTAGTGGCGTGACAAACAGTTATGCTTGTGATTTATGCAGGCATATTTAGAGGCTAGTACATACAAGAAGCAGATATTTTAGTGTCTTTTCCTTTAAATATCAGCTGAAAAGGGGCTTATGGTACCTTCTGTTCAACACCAATGTTTTTGCCTATAATACCTTGTTATTGAGTGTTGCATCTTTCACATGATAATAACATATTTAGAAATCTGGAAGTCTTAGAAATTATATGCTGAAGTTCTTAATTCACATGAAATTATTTTAGAATAAGTTAGCAACTGTGTAACTATAGCAGTTTAACCTGGTTTTATTGCACAGGGGTGGGCAAATAACTTTCTCGTGATCTAGATCACTGGATCCCATCCACGGGCCAGTATTTGCCCACTCTGGGTGATAAAACCAGGGTTAACCCCCAGGGTTAGTGGGCCGCCACTGCTATATTTACCTGTGACTCTGCAGGTACAGGCACTTGAAGCTCCCATTGGTTGTGGATCATTGTTCCTGGCAATGGGAGCTGTGGGGAGTGGTGTCCCAGTCTGTGCTACTTCCCACAGCTCCCATTGGCTGGGAATGGTGATCTGTGACCAATGGGAGCTGCAATCACCCATCCCTGTGGAGATCCAGGGAAATATAGCAGCGGCAGTCTGCCAGGGACTAACCAGGGCAAATTGCTGCCATTTTATTGTCCGTCTCTTGTATAGTATCTTCCATCAATAAATCAGAACAAGTGGTATGTTTAATTAAAAATGGCAGTGGAAGATCAGTAACAGAAATTATGCAATGAATACTTTTTTTGGTTTAAAGAAGTAAAAATGGGAAAGTTTTTCCCAGCTATGATTTTAAGCTAAATTGCCATCTTTTTTCAACTGCAACAGCTTTATTTAAAAAAAAATATTTTAAATGTCTGATTCAAAGTAATCTGTAAAACATATTTGTATAGGGACTGTATTGCTCAAACACAGTCCAAATTCATTATCTAATTATAGCAGGAAGCAGTTCTAAAGGGAGGCCCCTTTCATATCTGGGCTGCATACGTGAGATAGCTATAGCACCGTTAACAGTGGAAATTTTTCCTAACGAAGATTGTTGTGCGATGATGCCTAAATTATAAACAAATGCTCTAGTCTTCTCATTATATTCATTATATGCAATAATCGTCTAAAATCTAAAGATTTGCTAAAGATAACACTGAATAAGTTGTTCTTGGCATATTGATAAGGGAAAGCAAACACAAGCAGTCACATCACAAGAGCCTTTCATTCCTTGAAAAGTGGGTCTCAGTTCCCTTCCTTCCCTTATTTTCTTCCAGCTTTGCCCTCTTACTGCTATTCTCCTTAAGAACTAACAGAAAGCCACAGGAAGTCCAGCAACCAGCATTAGGCTTGATATATGAGCTGCTGAGCATGTCCAGCTCCCACTGTCTTCAGTGGGGGCTCTGGGTAATCAGACCCCGTGCAAAGCAGCTGGAGTCTGATTCTGTAAAGAGTTATGCATGTGGTTCGTTAGCTCCACTAATGCCAATAGGACTGCTCACAAGAAAACTCACACAGTTGAAACACTGGGCCCTCTTTTTGGTGCTGGTGGATATTTAGGCAAACAAGTTTGAAAATGTTGGCTTCAAGCCCTAACTTTCACCTGCAAAATCCCCTTTGCATATGCAGAGCAGGTTGTTGCTTGTGCAAATAGATGTAACTACCCAAGCAGAAAACACAGATACAGATGTTTCAAGAAAATTTGACATGTGCATATATCCATTTAGGACTCAAGCTTTGAAAATGTGACCTTTCCTTTTTGTTTCATTGACTCTACCTCTGAGGCATATTTTCTACCATCCACAGTGTGCTCAGAGCCATAATCATCAGTCCGGCCCCAATGGAAGTGAAACTGTTGCAGCCTGTAGTTTCCAGTGAGAGGTCCACCAGTCACCACTGCACAGAAATGAAATAACTTGTTAAGATCAAGTTTGGAGACAGACAGCACAGGTATCATCACATCAAAAAACTTTCTTACCAACATATAGACAATCAGAATATTAGCTCTATTATTAATCTACCGTAACATGTAATTTTTATTTGAAAATTAAAAATAAGATTGTTCATGATTTAATGCAAGCCTTTAGAAATAAAAACTGTGATATGTACATATTATGGCTTAGTTATAGTAAAACAGCATGCCTGTCAAATTCAACCCAAACATTTATGTAAACCATACATGAACAGAGACTATTAATTCCTTAAGCAAGGAAACAAAAACCAGGGAAACATACAGTAGCAGCAGTTCACTAGATACAGGATTAGTATTCCAAGAGTGAGAGATGGAAACAACCTATTAGATCACCCAATCCATTCCTTCTGCGGGCAGAAGAGACTCTGCCACTATAGATCTTAATTGCCTTTCTGTGCAAGAAGAAAAACTAGTAATGCACATAAGATACTCTGAGTCTAACATATTAGTTTTACCCATATTTTAAAGCTAAGCTAAAATGTTCTTGTTAGTGATGTTGTAGGTCACCGTCAATGATATGTACATTACCAAAATACAAAGGTGTGTTCAGTCCTACTGGCAGATAGAAATCTGCAGTTGCTTAACCATCACACTAAGAATTTCTTGCCTGAAAATTCTTTCAGGGAATTGTATTAGTATTTGCAAATTAGAATAGTCAAATAGTACCTTATTCTCCCTTTATAAAGCAAGGCTAACTCTGTAATTCAAATCTGAGTAGAGTCTTGTCCATAGGAAACTCACCAGAACACAGCCATGGCTGTGGATATTTTACTACCTGGAAAAATCTGATCAATCTGGCCAATTTTAAATTTGCTTATAATAATAGAGCCCTTGCCAACAAATCCTAATTTTAAAATGATGTATTTCAGATCCTCCATGGAGTGTAAAGTTATATCACTGCATTAGTATTCTAAATCTGGGAGCACATTTGAATGGGTATTTATGGAGCTGAACGTCCATTTGCTTTTGTTTCTAGGCAAGGGTAAGAAAAAAGAATGTGTAAAAACAAACAAAAGAACCCTGTTCACTAACCTGATCGGTTATCCTTGTCCTCAAAGTTCACATGGAAGGAGTGTCCAATGTTGACAATCTCTTTGCAGGTGCTCAAATTCCAAGTGACATGGAGATGCCCCAGAGAGGGATCTTTTTTTACATTCTTGGTTTTAATGTCAATAGGAGACTGAAGGTTTCCATTGGCAACTGGGTATAATTTGTGCCACTGGTCAGGTCCTAGACAGACACAAATAATCTCATTTAGTTCTTAATTGCTACTTTAGCTTTAATATATAATTCCCAAATTGTGGTGGTTTCTTCTTGAATAGTTGTAAAAATAATCATAGACTCATGGAATACTAGAACTGGAAGGGACCTCAAGAGGTTATCAAGTCCGGTCCCTGCCCTCAGGGCAGGACCAAGCACCATCTAGATCATTGCTGACAGATGACTATCTAACATGCTCTTAAATATCTCCAGTCTTGGAGATTCCACAACCTCTCTAGGGAATTTATTCTAGTATTTAACCACCCTGACAGTTAGGAAGTTTTTCCTAATTTTCAAGCTAAACCTCCCTTGCTGCAGTTTAAGCCCATTGCTTCTTGTCCTATCATCAGAGGCCACAGAGAACAATTTTCTCCCTCCTCCTTGTAACACCCTTTTAGATACTTGAAAACTGCTATCAAGTCCCCTATCAGTATTCTCTTTCTAAACTAAACAAACTGAATTCTTTCAGCCTTCCCTCATAGCTCATGTTTTCTAGATCTTTAATAATTTTTGTTGCTCATCTCCGGACCTTCTCCAATTTCTCCACATCTTTCTTGAAATGTGGTGCCCGGAACTGGACACCATACTCCAAATGAGGCCTAAACAGCCCAGAGTAGAGCGGAAGAATGACTTCTCATGTCTTGCTCACAACACTCCTGTTGATGCATCCCAGAATCATGTTTGCTTTTTGCCACAGTGTCATATTTAGCTCGTGATCCACTATGACGTCTAGATCCCTTTCTGCAGTATTCCTTCCTAGACAGTCACTTCCCATTTTATATATGCAAAACTGATTGTTCCTTCATTAGTGGAGTACTTTGCATATCTCCGTATTAAACTTCATCTTATTTGCCTCAGACCATTTTTCCAGTTTGTCCAGATCATTTTGAATTATGACCCTATCCTCTAAAGCACTTGCAACCCCTCCCTGCTTGGTATCATCTAAAAATGTAATAAGCGTACTCTCTATGCCAATATCTAAAGCATTGATGAAGATACTGAACAGAACCAGTCCCAAAACTGACCCCTGCAGAACTTCACTTGTTATGCCCTTCTAGCATGACTGAGAACCATTAATAACTACTCTCGGAATGGTTATCCAGTGAGTTATGCACCAATCTTATAGTAGCCCTGTCTAAGTTGTAGATTAGTCCTCTTTAAATATAAAAAAATGTATCACTCTATATGGTCTGATCACTGATTTATGTCTCCTTTTATCAAAAAAGAAAAGAAAGAGCCCATCTTGGTCAGTTAAATTAGTTTGCTATTAGGGAAAGTTATTCTTACCATTGTCACCTTCATAACTCCAGTTTAGACTTGCCATGTTCTTCTAACTGCAAGATATTGTCTTCAAAGAGAAATTGGTGGTGCCTGTAGTTGCTGATTCTGGGATGAGGCCAGTGCTTTTCTTCACTACAGAATTTCTGCGTTAGGCTGGGGTGTTTATATACATCACCAAGTAAGGGATTTGGCAATACATTATAATCAGATTTTATAGAGTCACCTGATCTCATGACACTAGAAATGGGTAAAGAGAAAGAGGGAAAAAGAGAGAGAGAGAGGGGGTTGGAAGAAAAAGAACAGAGGTTTACAGTCTATGTATCCTTACCATTTTGATTCAGTGAACATGTTAAATTATAAGAGACCAATAAGATTTTAAAAGTTAGACCCTTGTATTTGTTTAAAGGTTGGCAAAAGGTATCTGACACATTAAACCTCCAAGGCCAAAATTTGTCTTTGAATTCAGTGGGAGCAGCTGAGAGTTCTTCATTTTTAAAAATCCCAGACATTTATTTAGATGTCTTAAATATAGACTCAGGAACCTAACTTTAGGAATTTATTTTTTAAAATATTGGCTTTGGTACCTTTGAGTAATGTAAAATACATAACTCAGACAGTTGAAATAGTTTAACAAATGTGTTAATTATAATGCAAAATAATATTCTTCTTAATAATAATTCAGGTCCAGACCAACTCTCATGGATCCAAATATAGCAGGGATGGTCCCAGACTTGAACATGTGGGGGAATAATTTTAGGGATAGGGTCTGTAGTGTTTTCTAGGGAGGAGAGGTCCTCACTGAGATATCCTTTTCAAGACCCACTTTGTATGGATTTTCTGCAAGAAAATCTGTACCATAAATGTTTATTCATAAACAATCTAGATATTTCTCTCAAACATTAATCTAGTCATTATGGTCCTAAGTCAAGATCCTGTCCCTTATTCTGGACAGCACTCAAGCTAAGGGGGGGCTGAATTGGGATGGAATTTAAACTGCTTTTCTGAATATGGGCTTATAGTGTCAACCTACCATTTATCAAGTGGTTTCAGATCAATAAAAGTGAAGCTCTTTTTTTATAATAAAATATTTGGGCCTGATCCTGCTTTTCTTATTAAAGCTAAACCAGTTGGATTTTGCTTGAGTAAAAGTTGCAGGATCCGGCTTTTAAATGCCTATCTGTAGGATTTCACGTATAATAAACTTGCACTTCACCATACCACAGTATAATTAAATAGTTGTGCTGTTTATTTATTTCCAGTTGTTAATAAGCACAGAATTTCAAGGTAACAATTTCTACGTAAAATAAGGTTCAACATAACATATTTAAACATTGCCCTGTCATCCTGCGTTGCAAAAACATGAACCTGTTTATGTTTTTCTGTTACTGCTGCAAACCATTTTTGGTAGTAAACTGCTGATATCAGAATCATGCAGCTGTCCAGAACTGAAGACAGGCACACAAGATACTGTTGTGTTATTTTTCTTTGCATAGCCTGCAGAATTTGTCATGTTGATTCCAAGATTGTCTATGTCGTATATTGTAATAGGTGAAAATCAATATAATTCCCTTAAATAATGGAAGAAATGAAAAAATTATTCACTCGCACTATATGTATAAAATATAGACTTCCATTTCACACCCAAACTCTTCCTGTGTTGCATGTTACCTGTATGCTAAGATGGCCAATGAGAAATATGTATATGGAGAGATTTATAGCAAATCCACTGTACCAGAGGTTGAAAACCCAGAGTGTCTCTAGTAAAATAATAGATCATTGAAAAAGCAGACAACCAACTTTATAGTATTCTCCTATAGAGAGTTCTGAAACCCATTTTGATCTGCCAATTTTGCTGGCTCTATCTATGAAACAGTCTTCTGCTCTAATAGGACATCAGAGCAACCACATCTTAAGAAATTAAATAAGAATGGAAGAGTTTTGGGTGAAATTTTCTCTAATTCTTTAACAGCTAAAGAAACACATTAGTAGGAATTAGAGCCACCAGAAACATAGATCTTACTCTAATTGACAGATACAGGGGGATATACAACCTGGAAAAGCATGTTAAGGTATCTTTTACTATATCAGATAATTAACGACAATTTTCTGGCTATGAAAAATATTCTTTCTGTGCGAGGTGAGCATGGCACACACTCAGTAAAAAGATCTCCTTAGTGGAGCAGCCAACTTTCAGTGAGGTCTGATCTTTCCATGTCTCATCTGCCAATCTTTGAAGTAATCTTAGAACACCCATTTAATGCTATGGGCCATTCATGACTGACAGGACAACTGTTTTGTCTGTTGAAATCCAAAACAACTGGTTCATATTCCCCCGACTGGTGCATGTCCTTTTACACCCTCTCAGTGAACTTCAAAATTTATTTCTATCAGTCTTGTCAACTCTTGCGATTTTATCACTAGTTTTGTGATATTGTTGTTCATATTAACATTCTTACTTCCCCAGTTGCTGGGAATCTCAGCTTTTATTTTTTTTAAGTAAGTTATTAGCCCTCATGGCTAAAGAAAAAAAACTTTAATATTTGAAGCAAGTGCACCCTAAAGGGTCAGAAACCAGAAAGCAAACAAAAATTGGTCTCTTTCAGTACTAACCTTCTATGATTCAATAAATGTATCATCTTAAAGAATCTCATGATTTTTAAGCCAACCTAATAATTTTGGGGGGAAATCTCATTTATGCTTTTTGAACTTTTGTGGTTGGCAATATTGACCTACAGCCAAAATGTCTACACATGAGTAAGAAACTGTATTTGGTTTAAGTCAAAGCCTTGGTAATTGCAGCGATGTTGTTAAAGAATTGCTTAAAGACAGTAACTGGTAACAAATGGTTGTTTTTAATTTTATCAGGGTTTTCCTGTTTATTTGTTGATGATATTTCCTATTAGGTAACCAAAGTACATGCAAGAATGACTGAAAACAATGGAAGATACTTTCTGATAGCTTATTCATACCACCATGTTCTTAGGAAAATCTATGGAAAAATGATCATTATAAAAAGTAATGATGAATGAAAGCTTTTTTGGATACAGATGTAGCGCCTCAGATTACAGATAACTAAGGGCTAAAGTGTATGTGTATGTGATGCACCAGGAGCAGTAAAAGGAAAGAATTGCCCGAAAGGCACAGTTCCCTCCCGGGTTCTACCTTGTTCTGGGTAGAGGGAAGTAATTTTCTCTGGCCTATGCAAACATTTAATGATGATATCAACTCAATATGTGCTAGCCCTTTTGTC